CCGCTGTTGTATGTTTTTGCCTTTTTATCTTTTAATCGTGATGTTAAGCCGACGAGGTAACTAAGTCACTTCAGCACATCCTTTGCCCACTAGTTTTGCATTTGTATCTAATTCGTTTGTATTCATTCTTTCACCTAATTGTTCTAAATCTGATTTATTGATGAGCATTTGAATAGTAGCTATTGTCGTCTGATGATAGACTAAGTGGAACTGTGGGTTTATATGAGATCCACGTTAAGAGCGAAACAACGCCTCCATGTTTACATAAAGAATAAGATGGATATACCCTGGTACCCAATCTATAAATGAATCTTCTGAGAAAAATGAGAGGAAAGAACCTGCAGGATAGCGCTCAGTATCAGGCGCTGGCTAATCCTGTCGAGAGTCAGGTAGGTAACAGAAGAAATATCCTCCAAGGCTCAGGATGTGGAATCAAAGCAACCCAAGTGTTAGTCTAAGCTAACATAAGTAAGTTGTTTCGTCTCTGCTTTTATCAGCGGCCAATTCTCCTGGCAGCCCGACGAGGGTTTCCTTGAGTCAAGTCTTGACATGAATGCTATAGAGGGTACCAACACTGCACTGTCAATACACTCACGGAATACTGGGCTGGGCCTGTGCTGCACCAGCTAACGCAGACTGTGTATATCATAAGATTTACATATCTATATGTCGATGCTCCCCTGTTTGGTTAGAACGCAGCTCATACTCAGAGAACTTCGAACTAAATGTCGTCTTAGACAATGCAAATCGGATATATTTATATCTTGATACTTGTAGTTACTTCTACTCTAGCATTCGAGAATGCAGGTAGATAAAGAAGATTAAGAAGCATTGCCTCTTGTTATCTTGAAGTTGAATCTCGTCCTCTGAACCCACGTCATGTAGTCCTGGAATAATTTCGAGTACTTACACTCTTACAGTCATTTGAATGGAAGAGAGACTAACCAGTCATCAGGACTTAAGAAAAAAGCATCCGAGGATGGGAAATCTTCTCCTTGGTGGGAGTTGTTTCTGGACCAGACCCCAGAATAGCGTCTGGTTCTCAAATATCATAGGATAGAACGAAGGCCTCATTCTTTTCCTATCATTCGGATGAATGGGATGTTCTGCACATGGCCAAATCATAAATAGTCTGAAGGTCTGTCACGAGACACTTCGGAGGGGAGCTCCGTTGGCAAACGACTGGGACGGATCGACGGTCCGGCTCACAACATGCAGATATATACGCCAACGAGGGGAATGCATTCACATGACTAACAAATTCTAAAGAGTAGAAGAGGCAAATGGATAACTCTCGACACCATCAGGATAAACAACTAGGTTCAATAAGTAATGGCATTGTTCTGTGCCTCTATTCTATTCACTTTTGTTGGCGGAATTCAGAGCTGACCAAATGTTCAACATCAAGTCAAATCCCATGATGACTGACATGCTCAGTATAAAATGAATGTAACCATAACTAGAGTATTAACAAGATATACTAAAGGCCAATTCGTACATAGAAACATAATCCCAAAGCTACTTGTTTGGTGCTATCTTTTAGTTGCTCGAGCAGCATTTAACCCCAGAGTTGGTCGAATACAATATATCGAGGAGCAATATCTATTTATCTTACAAAGCCTACCGACTAGAGAAGCACTAACGTAGAAAATCCAAGCGCTAGGAATGTTTTCGCGTCTATCCGTAAGCCAATGATCGTGAGGTAAACCACCCAAAACGATGCTGGATTAGGACAACCTGATGAAGCTCCGGACATTTTGTTTCCCAATTCGTCCTCGCCAAGAGAATCCTTGTTCAACATCGACAACCTCAAAGTTAAATGTTTGAATAGTTTCGTTTCAATGGTGGGAATATTAAACATCGTTTCATTCACACATTGCCGTTTCAAGCTTGCTTTCCAAATGGAGTTTCCCTCCCGAAGACCAAAGTGATGCTATACAACTCGGTATATAACTTGGACGTTTCTTCACGACAATAGTAGATCTTTTTCTAATTCGTCACGCCCATCACCTTCAATAGTATCTCATCTGCCTCAAAAAGAGCTCATTATGCAGATTACTCTCTCCCTTCTCTGCACCGCCGCCCTGGCCGCAGCTCACGGCTACGTCGAGACAGCCACCATTGGAGGCCAGACCTACCAATTCTACAATCCCTATGCCGACCCCTACATGAACCCTCCTCCTCAGCGCGTCTCCCGTGCAATCCCCGGAAATGGCCCCGTGGAGGACGTCACCTCCATTGACATGCAGTGCAATGGATACACTGCTGGAGGTATCAAGGGCAGCCAGCCCGCTGCTCTACACGCTGAGGCTAAGGCTGGCTCAAGCGTTAACTTGAAGTGGACTATTTGGCCTGACTCCCACGTTGGACCTGTCATTACTTATATGGCCAGATGTCCCGACTCGGGATGTGATAAGTGGATGCCTGGCACTGAGAAGGTGTGGTTCAAGATCCAGGAGGCTGGACGAGAGGGAACCAGCAACAACTGGGCTTCGGTAAGTATACATACGACTACAAATCTGAGGAAGTTATTAATTGTGATACAGTCTGTTATCATGAAGGCTGGCAATAAGGGCGTCGACTACACCATCCCCTCATGCATCAAGCCAGGCTACTACCTCGTCCGTCATGAGACCATTGCTCTTCACTCAGCTACCGGATACCCAGGAGCTCAGTTCTACCCTGGATGCCATCAGCTCAAGGTTACTGGAGGTGGCAGCGCTACTCCTTCCAACCTCGTCGCATTCCCGGGTGCTTATGCTAGCAGCGACCCTGGTGTCACTTACAACCCCTACCAGGGTAGGTCATTCTCGTTCAGAGCCTTGTTATAACGTTTACTAATTTGGTGTGTAGCTACCACTTATAAGATTCCCGGCCCTGCTGTGTTCAAGTGCTAGATCGCTTGAATGATGTTTCTTCTTTCCACTAGTTGGCCTTTATTGCTTGACGTATATTTGATTTGAGAACATATAGCATTGTTGTACATAAGTGGTATATAGTCCCATTCACAATCTGACCAGGCTATCAGACTATATCCTCTGTCCTCGATCAAACAAACTTGCCGTTCTGCCTGACAGTGACCTGTATATCCTAAACTTACTTGTTCTCTGTCGGAGGTGTCCTCGTCCCTGAAGAACTAAATGTAGCAGCCCTCTTAACTACTTCCACAACCTCTCCAGTAGGCGATTCAGTATGAACCCACCAATGCCAAATAATTGCCAAAAGCACCACAAAGACCGTCAACGGAATGGCGATCCACCACATGGTCCAAAACAGCGGCGTGAGCTTAACATCCCACGTCTGTCCATCCTTGAGCACTTCCGACGTGAATAGCTGCGACCCGATAACAGTTGCCACCCCCGTCGTAGGCAAAAAGATCATGGTAATAGCAGCAATGACCTTCATGGAGTTGGAGTCCTGGATCATGACCATGGAATCTTGCTGCGTTACGAGGTTGAAGGAGAGGGTTATGGCGTTGTCGATGCGCTTTTGGAGACTGTTGAGACGGAGTTGACTTGACTTGAAAAGGGAGCGGCGGTATTGGAGGGTTTCGCGGAGTTGCCTGAGGACTGGTTCTCTGGATGTTACTTGTTCCGTGGTTTGATGGTTGCCCACGTTGTGGATTGTTGAGTCGACGATCATGAGGCATGACTCAATTGCTTCAGCGATGTGGATTATGTGTTTGGCGCAGTTGTGCATCGCTGAGAAGGGTACCTTGCTGCTCATCTTGCGGATATTTTTGGAGTTGGCATACTCGAGGATTAACTATGCAGATTAGCCAGCTGCTCCAAGAGATGGAGAGAGGAACTTACGTGCTCAAGAGGACCAAAGACGGTGTTCATTTTCCAAACTGTGTCGTCGACCTCAAAATAAAGCGCATCGAACAGTAGATCAAACAAAATATAGGCATCAACCTTGACATCCCCCCACGCTTTCGCAGCAACAAACTCCCCAATTCTCTGTCTAATCCTGTTCGTAGCTCCGAAACAAACCAAAGTGACAGAGCCCCCATTATCAACTCTTAAGAAGAAACCAGCGCGATGCCAACTATAATCCGCCTGCGGAAGATTGGAGGCATGATAGCCCATCGCTGCAGCGCGATTTTCAATCTCTGGTGCGCTACCTGGTGCTTGTTTGATGTCGATGTTTTTACAAAGAAAGTGAAACCAAGAGGATGAACCGTTGGAGTCTGTCGCATGGTTGAAGCTGTGGCTCACGGATTGTAGACGTTCTTTTGTGAAGTCACTGGGTATGTTAAGAATGTTGAAGAGTTCGAGGGTTTGGGAAAGAGCGTCTCTTCTGGGGAGATCAAGAGGTGCAAACCTGAATTGTCAGTCTCTGATCTGAACCATGAATATCGTTCTGCTCTTGAGTTGAGACTTACACAATCCTCAAACTCGCCTTCTGTCGCAGACATCGGGCATTTGAATCGAGAAACCAACGACCTTCAGGATGATCTGCAACTATGAGTTATTGCATCTAGAGCGTGGAAAATTGCGGCTCACCGTGAGTTACTTCCCAAATATTGAGCATCCATTGTGGAAAAGCAACAGACAATGGAGTCTGAGTAGCCTCCTGGGCAAAAGCGTCATACGGATTCGATCTCTGAGTCCAAGACATGATGAATACTCAAGGTTGCCAAGTAAATCTGCTTCGATTCAATCACGCAGAATGAATTGATTGTCACTTTAACTACCTTAAGAGAGACAACCTCTGTGAGTCCCCCTCTTGGCAGGGGTCCTTCAGCTCTTGAGTCCTACATGAACCAAACTGACCCCTCAAGCGCCAGCCTGATTGTCTCGAAACCAATGGCGTTTGTCATAATACACCACTTCATATTGATATCTATTTAGGGGTTATCGAAAGCCTCGAGTCTAGACCCCAGCCATGTCTCAAGCCTCATCGCCGTCTCTTAACGGAAATGCCACCACTAACTTAAACCCCTCATTCCCTCGTACTGTATCCGTACAGTTAAGTCACTTAACTATTAGACTTATAATTATTAAGCTTCCCGTGGGTTACATGGCGCGGACCGGTCGAGTTAGTTTAGCTCCCCAGGGCTGAAAATAGGCGCTTCTTCTTGCCAGGGGTTTTATATGCTTGTCGACCTATCAGAGCTGACGCTATTGTATGCAACTTGCATGCACTTTTCTTATCTTCAGCTCATATGATCTCCGGAAGGGTTTCACAATTTTGCATTTTGTTAATAATATTCGTACTTAATTTCGTCAGGATCTGCACTTGTCGCCCAGCATTCCGCTTTCGGGCGGCCTTGTATAAGGTAGGGAGATGGGGAGACTCAGATCCTGGGGGCGTCAAACCTTACAAGGCGACCTCTCCCAACGCTTTGTCTGCGACAATATGTCAGGGGTTAGTGCGACGGCAGGGCATTCTCGACAAGCCACGGCTGCAGTCCCGCCCTCGAGCGAACCAATATATCTAATGCAAATGACATGCCGTACCTCAGCCGCTCTTAACAATTGACCCAGAGTTGGATGCCACGGAAGATGCCGTTTCCCCTGATAGTGTCCGATATCGTGAGGCTGAATGCAGGAGGTCAGGAATAGTCACAGCGTCACATGAACGGGTGACCTGATTTAGTGGAGGATCTGATTCTAGGTCGCATCCTCCGGTGGCGAAAGGAACGGGGCGCGTTGCATCGAGATATCGGCGTCTAGTCCTTCTCCCCTCATAGGATGGCATCTAGATTCAGCTCTGCTAGGCTGAGAGCTCCTTTGTGGCAGCCTCTTCACAAACACGTTTCCGTTTATTAGCGGTAGGGAGAACCGTTTGAGAATCTCAAAGCCTTGGACTCTTCTTCTCCTCATCCTGTGTCTTATATTCTCTTCTTCTTCTTCAACACAAGTAATCATTTAATATTTGAACCATGGTATTTCCTCTTATAAATCCCTTGATTCATTCAGTTGTTGACATGGTATAGGCTCACGCACACGGAGGATACTGGGATCCCAACTCTGTCGGCGATGTGAGTTTGACTCTTGTATCCTGAAGCAAAGACATTAACAAGATCAAGTACACTCATACACCACCTGCTGTACCTCACCAAGCACACGGAGGTGCATATACCCCGGGAAGCTCTGTTGTGGTATGTCTCTCCCACATACGTCTGCTCTTCAACGTTCTCACTCCTTCTAGTCCTACCAAAACCAACCATACCCCCATCCTCACCAACAACAAGTCTCTCCATCTACAAGTCCCCTCTCAGCACAATCAACTAGCTACATAACCTCCCCTATCTCACAGCATCAAACTCAAACCACGATGCAGTACCAACAGCAGCCCATGGTTAGTATACCTGTCACCTTCGCTATCGTCAGTTGCTCACAAATACAGGCCCACTATGGCCAAGGTCAACAAGGCGTTATCTATCAACAACAGGGTTCGAGCAGCGGTCAGCAGGACGGGCCAATGGTAAAGCTCTTCCGCGGATGCTTTTGTTTCTAGTTGAAGATCATTTTCTAAATTGAATTCTCTTTTTAGCAGAACAAAGTTGCCAGTGTCCCTGTAACTACCACTCGTCGTCTCACAACCACCAACAGCAACCAAGATGAGAAAGAAGTGAATCATCCCCTTGTCCTATTATCTTCATGTACAAGTTTACTAACAGCCTTCAGCGAGCTGAAAAGGAATTCCCCGTCACACTCAAAGGAAGCAAACACTTCTTCGAATCCCGCTCCATCTACCGCTGGCGCAACCCTGTTCTCTACCAAAAGCCTGGCTACAACTTCACCAACAACGAGGTCAAGATACGACACCGTGACTACGCAGGTCGGGTCTCCTTCAAGCCTCGCTCCGATCGCTATCTTCACCACAACGATGGTTACCTCCGTAACATGTACGTCGCATGCGTGGACGACATTTATGAAGGTCCGGGTACGTCTACCTGGAAGAGAACATATGTTCGTAAGGTTGCACCTATGAAGGTGCGCATTGCGACATGGATCATTGACTTTAGCTATGATCCTCAGAGTTGGGGAGATTGGGGAATTATGGTGTTGAGGACGTTGCCTGCTGCTATTGCTATGGCTCTTGTTGTAAGTCTTTCGAAGGTGACGGGTATGTTATAAATACTGACGATTGTAGTTCTGGGATGGTAAACCAACTGTCATTCATCGAAGCCTTTGCTACGCCCCTGTTCTTTACAGATATCATGGCGATGCCAAGGTCTGGAGCAACCTTCTCGAGAACCGTAAGGGTCTCTCCCTCATGGCACGTAACAATGCCGTCTATCGCATGCTACGACCTCGCTATCTGTGCTTCCTCCGTGAAGCCTTCAACGATGAGAACAGAGGAGTCGATGTCCGCAGCGTCGAAGAGTGGGAGAACAGCGATGGCCAAGATGTCAACCTTTCTTATCTCTTTGTCGCTTACTCGACTGAGCACTTCAGCCATAGCTCTCAGGAGGATATGATGGCTCTTCATCACATTGCTGAGACTGCTTGTCGTGCTGCGAAGTTGCCTGCGTATTGGATTGCTTGCAGCTGTATGCGCGACGAGAAAGAACTTGAGTCTGATGTAAGTGCTGCCACTCAGTATCGATATCTTCTCTGACTAACATGTGCAGGTTTACCGCATCTCAGATGTTCTTCGTGGCTCAGACAGAATGGTCATCGCCGTCGGAAGAGGCAAGCACTCTCAGCCCGGCTCCTCAGGTAAAGCCAACACAGAATCTCTCCTCCGCGAATGGGGTAGCAGAATGTGGACTTTCCCAGAAGTTCTCCTCAGCCCAGGTCGTACCATCTCGGTCTACACCCGCGATGGCAACCTCCAGTCTCCCCTAGTCGTGGCTAAGAACCAGTTCGCTGCTCAAGTCTGGACATACATGGAACCTGATGTGGCTCGTCACCTTATCGACCACTACCTTGGCAGCATCAGCCTTAGTCATCTTGAACAGGCTGTTCTGGCATTGAAGTGTCTTTATAGTCGCCGTACCACGGAGTATCTCCCAGGTGACCAGGCCTACGCTCTTATGGGACTCTTGAGACTTCGACCACAGATTGATCGAACAGACACTGCCTTCCAGGCTTTCTCACGACTATCTCTGGCCAACGACTCTGATGGACTCCTCGAGAGATACATTTGTACTCTGCCCCTGACAAAGGAACAGCCATGGTACGACATGACAGATGCCTACGAGTCCTCCCTTTGGGACATCACACCATACTGTCAAGTCGCTGGTATCGCTGATAACGACACCATCATCATTGACGGCGCATGGGGCATCTCCATTCGCTGGAAGACCTTCTATCCAGTTTACTGGTCCACCGGTCCCTCTTGGAAGAGATGGTTCTCGGCCATTGCAGTAGAATGGAACGGAGCATTCTTCATTGCCGCAATTGCACTCATCGCAAGTGGAGCTTCTGCCAATACCTCTACTACTGTCAGTGATGGCTTCACCACCACGACTTACACTAGCAACGCTGGCACAGCTATGATCATTCCTGGTGTCATGTTCCTTCTCCTCTTCCTGTACATCTGGCTTATTACACCAAACTTGGTCCGTGTTATCTACGGTGGAAAGTTTGCTGACACTCAAGCTGAAATGTTTGGCTTTGAGGGCCATCTTAACGCACCAACCATTGAGCGCGCCATCTTTGGTGGTAACTTTGGTCGTTTCTCCTGGACCACCAATGGCAGTCCCCTGAGTCGCAGTGTCGTCAACGAATTCGGCGAACGGGTCGGCATCGATCCTTGCAAAGACCCCGAAATCAGAATGAAGGTTGAGACAGCCAAACAAGCTCGCCCCGGTGACGTGAGGGTAAGCCCTACACTCTTTACCTTTGCTTTTCGCTTAACTAATTTAATTTATTAGATCTTCACTCTGGTTGATACGTATAACATGGAGTTGACCCTCTTCGAGGCTGTCAGACCACCCGTAACTCTCATGTTCTGCGCCACTGAAGGTGGTATGCAACGAGCTATTGGATGCTCTTATGAGTGGGAGACTCAAACTATGTTCCGTGAGACTGTCTTGAGGATGCCTACAACTGCTTTGAACCGCATGGATCGTGTTCCTCGGTTCCGTATGGGTATTCAGCGACCTGTATATCCATCTGCTCCGATCACAGGCGCCGTTTAAGTTAAGGTTTTGATCTTTACTGGAGGTTTTATTCCCTTTTCTTCCACCTCTTTGTCTGGTTGGGTGCGTGTCTGGAAGATAATACTATGTGTCTATCTAATCGACCTTTTTATGTTTATATAAAGTCTACTCTTGAACACGTGAATAGCTTTCTTCATGCGTGGTTCCTATTCGACATCGCTTCCTTCCATAATTCTGAACTTGGTGACAGGAACAAAATAATTAATATTCACAAATCATACGTTTGTCCCCGTCACTCTTTTCCCATTCCCCTCCCAAAAATCCATCAGGGAGATGCCATCCTTTACCACAATCATAACCAACACTCCCACAACCATCACGATGCCAACTCTCAGACCCAATACCACCCGATCCCGGGTACCAAAGCTCAACCAAGACGGAATACCGATGGAGTACCTCCAACGAAGAGGCGAAAAGTTTGCCCGCGGAACCATCTTCCAGAAACACGACGGATTGGGGGTCGCCGTTTGGGCCGTCGCCCTCGGCATCTGTGTTTGTGTCATCGGCGGCTTGGCTGCGGGTAACAAGAAGTACGAAGAGAAGAAGGCAAAAGAACAAGAAGTAGAAGAAGGTACGATGAAGCGCTGGTCACACTTTGAGGAGGGCTTGCTGACCTTTATGACAGGGCAGGAGTACTACAAAAAGACATATCCTTAGCTTTTCCCGACGAACAGAGCTATGTCCGGTTCGGCTTTTGGTAAGATATACCGGCCATTTGACCGTCCATCACTCACACTATCTTGAGCTTGTGCCCTTGGGGGGGAAGGGCGGATCATTGCAGAGTAGTGGTGGCTTCATATCACAATGCTCGTTTAGGGATATCTTTGGAACATGCGAACTTTACAGCAGGACCCATACTCGACGACGCGATATACTCAAAAGTCAGGTTTTAGGTAGGAAACATACACAGTCAAATCCAATACTACCTCTGTTCAGATTTCGTACGATACGAACCGCAAATCAAGTGGTTTGCATCCCCAATATTAATCACCACAAAGAGCAACTCTGCCAATACCGATGATGAACCTATCCCATGACAATAGCTAGATATGCCTGTGCGCAGGATATACTCTCATAAGATCGTCATTATAGGATCTGAGGCATACACAGGCACTTGTACTCTTCAAAGTTACCACGGGGTAAAATTGCGCCGATGATGAACTATCTGAGGCACATCAGCATCAAATATTTTTCTTTCTTGCACTTGCTTTGTTACTGAGTATTTAGCTTTTTATAATCACCTTGGTCGTTGATAACTGGCTATGAAGCTTGGCTAGAGTTGGACTGTCTTAGCATTAACACAGAGACACTTGTAACAATCATGTTCATCTCCATCTACAACTCAATAATTTAAAAAGATGACTGCGTGTGTAATTGATAAACCAGATTGGATTATTACCTAGAAATACTGAGATGGAACCCACCTCGACGAGGCGAGGCACCCTTGACGTGCAGCTCTTATCGATAAGAGGCGGGGCAGCTGCCTGGAGTATCCAACATCAACTGTTGCACTACCTATAACATTTCTGATTCTACATATTACATTAAATACTCCGGGTCGTCACAATGGAGGCATCGGCTCTCAAAGCTTGGGGTACGTTCGCCTCAATACCTTCAAACAATCCAGAAGCTAACGAATGCGACAGAGTTGGACAACAACGTCCAATTAGTTGACCCCAAACGCGACGCTCTCTACAACTTCGACCCAGAGGCTCAGAAAGCCATCAATAATGAACAACCATGGAAACAAGACCCAGGCCACTTTAAGCATGTCCGAATAAGCGCCATCGCTCTCATCAAGATGACCATGCACGCCCGCTCAGGCGGCAATCTCGAGGTCATGGGCCTGATGCAAGGCTACACCCAAGGCGACACATTCATCGTCACCGACGCCTTCCGACTTCCCGTCGAGGGAACCGAGACTAGGGTGAATGCTCAAGACGAAGCCAACGAATACATTGTCGAGTATCTCGACATGTGCCGAGCGCAAGGGCGACAGGAGAACGTGGTGGGCTGGTACCATAGTCATCCAGGTTATGGATGCTGGCTAAGCGGTATCGATGTGGACACCCAAGCCATGCAGCAGCAGTTCCAGGATCCATTCCTTGCCGTCGTTATCGATCCCGACCGTACCATCAACTCCGGCAAGGTCGACATTGGCGGTTTCAGAACTTACCCAGCGGACTACAAACCCGCTGGCGGCGTTACCTCTGACGGCTTCCAAGCAGTACCTCTCGCCAAAGCCGCCGAATTTGGTGCCCACGCAAGCCGCTACTATAGTCTCGAAGTCTCCCATTTCAAGAGTTCACTCGACGCCCACCTACTAGAGCTTCTCTGGCACAAGTATTGGGTGCAGACGCTTAGCCAGAACCCGCTCATCACGAACCGCGACTATGGAAACAAGCAGATGCTCGATTTGAGCTCAAAGATCAAGGAGGCGACGACAGGCATTACTCGAACCCGAGCTGGCCAAGGCATGATGATGGGAGCAAGCTCTAAAAGTTCTGATAAAGCCATGGACAAGCTTGCCAAGGAAGCAAACCTGATTGCATCAAAGGAGCGATCTGGTCTTATTGCGAATGAGGTCAAGGCTAGTCTTTTCAATGACCTCGGGTCAAAGGAGAATCCTACGTCGGAATGAGGCATGACGGGTTGTGTTTATGGGAATGCATGTAGCATAACGATTTCGGCATAGATGGCGTTCAGAGGTCAATAAGCAATCATTACTTTTTCGACATTTGTCTAGTTCTCTTGATATCTCGTCCCTTGTATGGATACAAACGTGCATGTTTCGATGTATCAGGTCCTGGCTGGCACAAAGGCGATTTGTTGCCGATAGTCTAGTTGTTGCGCCTCCTTCCCCTGCACGTTTTCTTCAGAAAGAATGGCGGCTTGGATGGTTCCCGAATTCTGCTTGTAAGCTCCCCACAGTCGGAGGTTCTCGATGACCATTTCCGCTCTGTCCGGCGGTAAACCCGGACCGGGTGGGTCCAACGGCCGGGCGTAGGATCGTCGACTTTATCAACAGGCGTAAAATCAACGACAGCTTGATAATGGAGCTGTCATACTATCACGATAATTTCCACTGGCTATATATTATGGGTTGTGGGGTTGTTATAAGGTTGGTCCCAGTCAGTGACTGCGATAACAGCAGTTGAGTCAAGTATATGTCCTGCATAGCAACATCAATGGATGGATGATTCAGTTGCTTTATCTACGGCCCGGCACATGATATGAATATTTATTTGCATTTCTCCCCCGTGCCAATTCAGGCAATGTCTTACTCTATGAAGATCTTTATCAAGGGGTATCCATGCTCGAGGCCTCCTGTCCTGGCCCCAGGGTGTCAGAAGAATTGGCCCCTAAAGACATAAGATACGAAATAATTTGGTCACTTTATGCTAGCTTAGACCAGTAGTTAGGTTACTTTATTAATGAAAGCCTAAACCTTGAAGGACAATTCTTCTGTTACCCACCTGCCTGGCAACCAAAGATACCCTACAGCTCGACATGAGAAAGGTATGTGACTGGGTTGCCTTGACCCGTTACTTCACGGGTAGAGACGTAAAAAGAAACCACTGTATTTCGTCCCTGTGGCGGATGGAAGCTCGCATAGTTTGAAGTTACATGCCCGGCAGTGCTACCGATGGAAGCTCACAAGACGGAGATGATGAGTCCATGGGGATCTAGACGTTACGCGTGTACGACTGAGCACGTTGTGGCTCGAGCTCGACTGGGCAACGATCAACCAGTAGCCGAGCACACGAGCACCCAGAGAAGGTAAAGCGAGGCGTGATGTGATGAGTTTAAAGATGAGGGGAAGGGGGGAGATCAATCGGTATTACTCAGAATAGAATTGAGTTTCTTGTCAAAAGATTCACGGTCGGTCCTTTTTTCACTTCTTCTTCTTCTTCTTCAAGTTACCAGGAACAAGAACCGAGTGACAGGCCAAGCACTAGAATAAAGAGACATGTTCTGTGTGGATGGAAAGATTGGGATGGATGCATTGATGCGTTCAGTGGCTCAAAGGCTAATACTGACGAAACACAGTCAAGACGTCACCCTTGGTTACAGAAGTCATTAGCCATCGACGTCTCAGGGCTCGGCTTTCAGTCTCAGTGCTTGGCTGCTCTCACATGTTTACATCTGATTAATTACTCGGGAATTGCCTCGACACCAGCGAATGCATGCAGAGGGAAGAGACATACGGAGATTAAAGCATCCGGAGGGATGACTATAGGGACAGACATTGACATTTTGTTTCTGTACAGTATCCAGATTTGATACCATCCTTGAAATCACTCGACACCATCTTTGTTGGAAGAATTGCCTAATTGATGGATGTTGATGCCGATTTTGGTCTTGACGGCAACCCTACATTAGACTAGACTGCGTTGCACTGCGCTGTACAGGAAATAAACTGACGTAAATGTTGCTTTTTTCATGTCGACGATGTGACGTCATGGATCGCTCACCTTAACGTCGAGCTAACGAAACGAAAGCTTTGACGCGATCGCATCGCGGCATTGGCTGCGATCATGATCAGCTCAGCCCACGCGGCAGATTAATTGAGCTCCATTTCTCAGTCCCACCTGTATTAGTAGTTCTGTAGTAGGCTGTACCGTACAGTAGGCAGTTTAACTAAAATTGACAAGAAGAGAAAAACAGGGTAAACACGCGAGTCTGCAAATCAAACAAACCCGTCAAATTGGACAATTACGTGTCATTGGGTCTGGAAATTGAGCTATGACGATGTGCAGCTCATGGAGCTCCCGTCCATGATGGCTCCAGCTTTTTAATTCAGTGGAGACCTGGGGGAAGAGCTCTAGTTCTAATTCTTTAGTGCTGCCCGAGCTGTAATTAGAGCTGTCCACCTCCTGGGCACTTCTCCAGATTCATTCCAGCCAAGAACAGCTATCCTTGTTTTCTTCTTCAAGAAAAAAGAGAGATGCAATATCGGAGGCTCATCGGCATCCTTGCTTGGTCGGTCGACATCACATCACACATCCGCTCAGCTCTGCAAGGTAGTAACCCATTAATTATATCATGATGCAGGCAGTTGGCAGATCATCTGTTTTTATTCCGCCGAAGCGAGAGTTCCACTCTGGCAGATCTGAGCAGGGAGATATCGGGAATAGGGTCAAAAAGGATGTCAACATCCATCATGTCAAAATTCCATTATCGTCGATTCACCAACAAACACAGAGAAGCCAGGGTGAAAGGACGCACAGAGTCTGACTTGTACCACTGATCAATTCTTGGCAGCGCAAGCAGTGAAAAAAATAGTACTGTTCTGGTGCTGTGCTGTCTTACCTAGCTTCGATTCAGCGAACCAGCCAGGGCTCTGTAAGACATGTTGCAACATTTGATGGATTCTTGCCAGGACAACCTGCTTTATGGGCTCATTGTCTGTGAATGCAATAAACAATATCAGTGAATAGTTCCTTCAACAGGTGTGGCTTGCAATTGTCAACGGCTTTTATTTCATCTCGTTGCTACCTATTCACGATCCAGGCCTGATCGTCGCCAAGATATCATGACAACAAGGGATAGTGTAAACGCTGAGGCTTGACCGCCCTCTAAATCCCCCCTGACGCTTTCCAAACCGTAATCTAATTGGGGATCAAAGTGCTTCATCACAATAAAACCGATGCAACCTTGATTTCTCCTTTCAGCTGCTGCCCTTGCAATATTCCTTCCTTCAATTCTTTTGGCGATGGGATGGCAGGATGGTGATGGACTGCGGAAGGATGATCTGTCTGACCCCTGCTTAGTTAGAGGGATACCCTTGCTAGCCGTAGGGTTCGCTCCGGATTCATTGTCATAGCCAAGCAGGGGTGGTTGCGACCAGCAAGCATGGAAACGAGCAAGCAAACGACAGGGCAGTGATTCAATCAATAATGGATCCATCCAGTGCCAATGCCAATACTTTCCCTCCCAGCGTTTGAGTGCCTTGATCATTAAACCGATAGCGCGTGTCAGTACCTGGGTACTAACTGTAGGTAGGTAGGTACCTCATAGCGCTGGTCTGGACCTGGACCTGACCTGAACCTGACCTGGCCAACGATTGACAATCGTCTGGCCGATGACGTCCTCGATCACAGTCGTCGCCCTTAGCAAACGTCAACGTCACTGGGCTCCCTTCCAACCACCAAATCTTGCCCGGATCCAGCCAAAACGTGTAACTCAGGGTAATGGTAATGGAACCTTGGCTTGGCTGTTCCCCATTACCCATTACTTAATTGTCCCCTTCGTGCCTGCCTGTCACGGGAGTCTCCTGAATCAAAAAACTATATCATATCCATCACCGCTCCTGCCTTACACCAGCTCCTCTTTCCCCATTTCCATCTACTGTCAAATTCCTCACCTAATACAATACCCAACTGCTTTGTGATACCCATCCCCTAGGATACCAAACAACAAACAGCTTTTTTCCCTTTTATTACCTACGCTACGCAACGCAACGCTACTCTTACGAATACGTCACGTCTAAACATCCCCTCTCAGTAATAAGATCGGCCTTTGCATCGTCTCTTATTCCATTTATCAAATCAAGGTCATACTTTTCGGTGGCATAACGACTTAATAACGAGATACCCCATACACCGTTGCCTATCATGTCTACCGGTGCAAACGTCAACAAACCCACAAACGTTAAGACAAAGGAGGCCGACGTCAACCGCAAGCTTCAACTCTACGGAATCATTTCTGCCTTCCAGAGCGGCAAGGTCCCTTCAGTGAGTATTCCTGCCGAATAAACATCCATCTTTACAGCCTACTGACGCGTTTGACTTCAGAACGATCAAATCGATGTCGCCCTAAGCAGTTTCCTCGCCTCTCGCTCTCTTTCTAGCAACCATGAGAAGCTTTCCACTGAGGGACAGGAGCTGGTTAAGGATGCTGCCAACGTTATCAAGCAAGCCAAGTATCTTCTTCTCTCCAAGAACGACGGCAACTTGATCCAGGACTTCATCTACCAAACTACCCAATTCGACCCCAAGAACGTCAACACACCCAACGCTCCTGTTAGCAAGGATGCTGCCAAGCAGGATGGTGACCAGGCGCTCGAGGGTTTGAGAACCCTCGGCCAGCTCCTCATCACTAACGGTCAGTTCCGCAAGCTGTTGTCTGATGCTACTGTTCTCTTCCGCGACATGGCCGGTGACGCCGCTACCAACGCCGCTGCCCGTGTCCGCCCCTCCCAGGAGCAGCTTCAGCAGCTCGACGAGCCCGCTCAGGACAATGTCTGGCACGAGGCCCCTGATTTCTCCAAGGAGAACTTCAAGAACCAGGCCAAGGGTATCTACAGTGGAAACCCCAAGCAGGACGCCAAGGACATTGCCTCCGCCGGTGTCAACTCTGCTGCCCCCGGACAGCAGCAGCCCCTTCAGCAGGACCACCAGGGTAACCTCCAGCCCAACCAGGGTGCTCACCCTCAGGCCACTACCGGCCTCGAGTCTGGCAACATTGCCTCCACCTCTGGCAACCCTGCTGATGCTGCCCGCGACACCGCTCGCCAGACCGACCCCCAGGCTGGCAAGAGCGCCGCCAAGCAGGTTGCTGAGCAGAAGCTTGACAACAAGATCGACCCTGAGACCAAGGAGAACATCCTCCAGCGCAACGAGGAGTACCGCCAGAAGGCACGCAACTACCTCGACAAGAAGATGCCCCAGGAGCGCAAGGACCAGACTATCTGGCGCCTCAAGAAGATGATTCTTGAGTGCCAGCAGCACGAAGACTACTCCCAGGCCATCCAGACTCTTCTTCGCCTGGCTGAGACTTACAGCCGACACGGCCGCACTGTTGGCCAGGGATCCACCAGCACTGCTAAGGACGCTCGTGGAGGCCTTGGTGCCGCTGAACGTGATCTCCGTACTATCATTGAGCGATTCGCCAACGGCACATCCACTGAGGACCTCTGGGAGGCTATTGGTCAGATCTACCGCGACGCTGATAACGACCGCGAGCTCAAGGATTGGTTCAAGTCTATGGACTCTTACATCCGCCGATGCCTCCTCCAGCAGGGTTACATCCTCGAGGAGCAGTCTACCCGCGAGTGGGATCAGCTCTATGACCAGGGCCGATACCTCCTCCGCAACAAGTACCGCGGCCACACCGACCGCGTCGTTGACGAGATCAAGTTCCTCGCCCAGGAGTTCGATCATGACCCCCAGAACCACGCTTTCGCTGAGTCCCTTACCAAGCTATTCAAGGACCTTGGCAACGACAAGGATGGCAAGCCTGTCTTCAAGCCCCATCTGCTCAAGGACTTGAGGGATGTCATCCTTCCCGCTGCCCTCGAGAACATCGCATACATCCCCATTCCCCGAATTGAGTACACCGACTCTCAGTTCGATGCTGTCATCGAGAACCTTGTCCTCGAGAGCGACAACTTCGCTCCCAACGTCTTCGAGGTTTCCAGCGAGCACTACTTCCGCTGGGGCCGCAAGAAGATTGCCAACAAGAACCACCAGACCATGGAGGTCAAGGTTGCTGGCATCCAGATGGATCTTCGCGACGTGAGCTTCTACGTCAACCGCAAGCAGGGCTTCCCGTCCATCACCGACACCGGTGTTGCTGACATCGTCCTCCCTGGCGATGGCTTCTCCTTTAAGATGAAGGTCTCCACTGCTGAGAAGAAGGATCGCCAGAACTACTTCAAGGTTGAAAAGGTTGATGTGGACTTTGACAAGATTCAGATCAAGGTCAAGAAGTCCAACCACAAGTTGCTCTTCTCTGTCCTCAAGCCTATCATGCTCAAGGTCATCAGAGCCCCTCTCCAGAAGGCTGTTGAGAAGGTTATCAAGGACCAGTGCAACAAGCTTGACCAGATCTGCTACCAGGTCAAGCAGGAGGCTGACCGTGCTACTGCTGAGGCCAAGAACAACCCTGAGGATGCTCCCAACATCTACAACCGTTACTACAACGCCGCTCAGAAGCAGTTCACCGCGAAGAAGCAGAAGGCCCAGGAAGTTGCTTCTGACAAGAAGGCCAACATTGCTATGACCAAGGAGGACAGCATCTTCCCCAACATCGACCTTCCTGGTGGCATCAGCACCAAGGCCACCGAGTACAAGGAGCTTGCCCGCAAGGGTGACAAGTGGGAGAGCCCTGTCTTCTCCATCGGTTCTGCTAAGAAGAGCACCGATATTCCTTCTCCTCCCAAGATCCAGCGCAAGGCTCACCCCGTTTCCAACCTTGGCCCCAAGAACACCGGGTCGGACTACGATTTCTACCCTGCTGGCGGTAACGGCCACCAGCACACTGGTAACGGTGCCATGAACGGTAACGGCTACCACGTTGGCCACGGAGATGGCATCAACGGTGGTGTTAACAGCAAGCACCTTGGTGGAAACAGCCTGAACAATGGCCAGAACGTCCAAATGGGACAGAACCCTATGGTTGGCCAGACCATGAACACTGTTTAGGATCCTTGTTGCGAGGATGCCAACTAGACACAGGAAAATTAATTGTGGAGGATTGTTGATGCTATACCCATCACGCGCTTGAGTTGTCTTTATTCTCTTTGTTTTTGATACCACACTGGCAGCAACGACGATGGGCGGATAAAGCACAAGACTGTGCTTGGTTAAGAAAAATTACGGTTTATTAATTAGTGAATGACGGCCTTTTCCTTTGTTTGAGGGTATACACGATTGGTTGATAGTTAAATTGATTCTTTACCTTTAATCACCGATTACCATGACACGATGACTTATCTGTGACTGCGTATGATGCCTTGAATGTTGAGTGTGGAAGGATAGGTAGTTAACATAAATGATGGGTAGTAGATATGAAGTTACGATAGAAGTCAATCACAGGTATGAGCCGCACTGGAAGAAGTGGGGTCTGTACAGAAAAGGGATAGTGGCGCAGAACCTCAGGACGACGTCACCATGGAGGGACCAGCTTGCCGTGGATCTCGCCCTTAAAGAAGCACTCATTGAATGATGCATGGCTTAAAATACGTGCAACAAATCCTATACTTTTTGGCGGGTCTAATCAGTGGCAGTCACTTGCTGAAATACTTCATAATCACTGACCAGTAAAGCCCGTAACAAACATTTTATCGTCACCACCAAAAAAATACTTTTACTCTCGACTTTACCTCACTTCCTCATCTTTCTTTCTCACCTTTACCTACATACCAAAGTCTCTCGATGAGACAGCAGACAATATGACGTCTGTGACTTTAGCACCCGAGCAGGTGCACGCTCTATTTGATATCCTTACACACCACGAAACATACTCCGAAATCCAAGCCTTTAAATATCCAGATGCTGTCACAGGCTACGGATACCCCTTCACAAGAAAGTTTGTTGAATCATCGACTACACAGAGCGCCCCATCTAGTTCAGGATGGAGAAGTTGGGCTGGAACTCCGGCGAACTCAAGACCTGGGACGCCAAAGGGCAGCAAGGATACAAAAGAGACAACAAACAGTGCAGAAGATGACAACAAGCCCTCTACATCGCCTATTCTTCACGGCATGCTAACTAGATTCATCTTGAAACTTCCCGGTATCAAAGATTTGCCTCGAGAATTTTGGTCTATGAGAATACAGGGGTTGTTGATGAGACTTGGAGAAGCTGAACTTTCAGAAAGCTATGATAAAGGTGCTTTAGGGCTGAGAAAGGTGTTGGCCACGGGTTCAAGTGGCTTGCTTGAGATGGTCAGTCGAGGATTTCTTGGCGGTGTCAAGAGAACGCATCAAACAGAGAAGAAAGATGCGAAGAGAGTTGAGTACGATCGCACCAAGGCGACGGATCTAATCAAGGCTTGGGACGACGTCGTTGAAGGATTAGTCTATGGAGGCTTGGTGGATGAGATGTTTGATCAATTCAGCAAAACTTCGGACGTTGAGAGTCATTCTCCTGTTATCGGCGCGGCAGCAGAATACGCCATCATCCAGTATGTTCTACCCTGCCGGTCTCCTACGACTGTAGCTAACCCAACCACAGCCTTGCAACTTTCATCCACCACATCTTCGTCCTCTCCCCTGAAGGCCAATATCTTCTCAAACTTCTCGAGAACATTCACAATCTCATTCCCTACAAGATGATCAAGCAGACGCTACGGATGGGCAGTACCTCTGGTATGATCAACGGTATGATGCGCCTACTCCTGGCCAAGCTGAGCGTTACGAGCGTTACCAACTGGATTGGGTTGACCGCCAATGCGGACGATGGTATGAACGTCTTGCAGCGTATCATCTCTCTGGTGCTGTCCTGGGATGCGAGCGAGTTCCGCAAGAGTGCGGATAAGGTTGAGAAAGCTAAGGATCGACCCAGTGACGAGATGCTCGAGGCAATTCGGCAATATATTGCTCTGAACCGCGATGAGCATAAGACTGTTCGACACGCCAGTGAAGAGCACGCTCAGTCAATCATCACGGCTATCTTTAACGGTTCTAACCCAACCTTGGCGACGCAACTCAACGAGCAGAAACACGCGCAGTGTCTTGAGTATTATTCTGCCCTCCTTTCCGTTCGTGACCGCGAGAGCATAACGACAGCTTTCTGTCGCCAACCTCCCGATCTATTTACTGCAACTATCAAGGATTTATTTGGGGCATATGAGCCCATGATCCGTATGGTGCATTCTCAAATAGATCTTCGCGAACACATGGAGTCAGCACAGCTATTCATCGACGAGTTCATCAAGACCAGCAAACCGAAGGAGTCGGGCAGCTTGCCAATGGTCGACGACTATGTCTCCCTGTTCATGAGAAACAGAGAGCTCATGTACAGGTGGGTTCACGCGTTTGCAAAGTCGTGCCCTGATGTCTGGAAGGAGATGAAGAAGTGGACTCAAGATGCTGTTCTCAAGTTCCGTCAGGAGCGGAAGTCTGTGAGCGTCAAGAAGGACGCTAAGAACGAGGAGTCAGGCAAGATGAGCAATGGGACAGTTGAGATGAGTACCATGGATGAGAAGCTCAACAAACTATTCCAGTCAATCCCTGAGAAGTCTCACAAGGACGTACTAAGCGCTCTGGATAACCACGCCGCATACCTCGCACAGGTCGAAGCTCTCTCCATGTGTCGTCTTCAACGCATCATCGACTCCGACGATTCAGAATCCGGCAATATGTCTGGTCCAGGCATGTATCTCTCCCGCTGGCAGAGTCTCCTTGAAGACACGCCCATCACACCAGCTGCGCCCAAGGGACCTGTTCGCCATGGCAAAGATGTCAAGAATACGATCACTATGGGTAAGATCGGAGTTGAGGGTACAGTAGTGGTGCAGGAGAAGGCGCTCAAGGCGGCAAAGGAAGAAGCTGAAGAGGGGCCTGAGGCACCTAATGTAGACGCTGTGGTTAAGCAGATGTCGGATGGGTTCCGGAAGCTGTTGCAGAAGAATTGAGGTAACGCGGAACGAACATCATTGGTAGAGGGTTACGAACACGATAGAGGCAATACAGGATAGTTGCATTGGGTTATAAGCATTGAGATTCATAGCAAATGTTCCCAAGAAGATAATGTTGGATGATAAGCCCGCTAATACATGAAAATCCCTCGATGTGACACACATGACACTTCCCCCCTTAGATCTTCAGACTGCCATCCTACCCCGTCCCTGGAGTGTACCGAATTTTCCATGACATGGTGTTCCGGGCTCGAGCCCTCCAAAAATGTGAAGCTTTCACGGAATTGGTGACATTCCTTCCACATCGCTTTGAACAATACAGCATGCACCCTTCGTAAGAGCATTCGCGCCTCAGATGTGCTCGGCCCCTTGGATTAGGCCACAGGGCACCGAACTGCTAGGCACCCTTTCCAAGATCCGTGCTGAGCCGTTCTCCGGTCTCGTCATGAGATATCGTCGCGGTGAACGATCCCGAACGGGCCTCTCTCTCCTTCTGCAAGGCGAGGCACTCCTTGCTCTCTGCGGGCCTCCATTGTTGCGTGATCGACCAAACAGAGTCCGCTGTACACGAGGGACCGTCTGTCGCTGTCGTTCATTGCCCTCGAGTACTTCGATAGGTGCTTCTATCACCGGCGTCGCGGGAAGAGGTTTGCTTACATGAACGGCATTCTTCCTCCTGTTATGAGCGCTCATGGTCCTGGCGAAACCGACAAGAGCGGATGTCGCTCCTTCGGGACAGTCTTGCATCTGGCCAACTCGATAGGCGAGGCCATCTATAAGACTGTCAATTTCTTCAGACATGCCTGCTGGTGAAGTGGATCGTATGTTTGTCAGATCGATTTGGTCGACGTGTTGTACCTCCTCGTCGTCGGATATGACTTCTATGCCTGAATCGTCGGGGAGGATGTCACCAAAATCGAAATCTTGGGGGTCGAAAGCTGCGCTTTGGACTGGACGTCTAGGACTGTTGTTATGAATGTCTCTTAGAACATACTCTTTCTTGATCAAGCGATCTCTCCAGAGTAGCCTGATGGTGACTCTCGTCGCGTCTGATAGCCTGCGCACTAACGACTTGCAACGCTGGCAGTGCTTTCGGGAGAAGTACACTTCAAAGAGCGGGCGAGTGCCATCTTGCCAGCGAACAGTACGGAGTTTGTGCAGATCCTCCATAGTGACTTTGTCCAGGTCTTTCGTGATCTTGAAGGACTCGAGGAGAACACAGATGCCGTGAACTGCGAGTTTGACTTCAACATGGGATCCCAAAAAGATACCATCCCTATTCTCATCGATGCTTGTCCTGTCGTAGGGACTCCCCATTTTCATACCAAGTATCCTACCCATGGATATGACTCGTCTCGTCCAAACATTATTCGGAAGGACGCCCTTCTTTTTGTCGAGAAGATCGCCATATTGTCCGAGGCCATGGCCAGATTCGGCGGCAGCTAGAACAATACGCTGCGCTTGGGGTGTCGCAACAGCGATGAAGCCCGTCGTCTTGTTCTCGAGTTGCCTTGTAATTCCCCCTTGGGAGATGAAGCGTTTAGCTCTCTGGTGGCTGAATTTAAAGGAGATGTTAGCTCCGAGCACCTGGACAGTGAGAGTTGTTTCTTCGGCGTCGATCATGTGGTAGAAGAAGATGAGTGGTGAAGATTTGCTGATTGATGAAACGAATTTAGGAAGAAGCTCTGCTACCTCTTCGGAGCTTTCATTGTTTGAGATGAGATTTGAAACAAAAGACATGATTGTTGATAAAGAGTGATATCTAAAAGTGAGTGGTGTGTGAGCTGTTTGAAGAAGAGGAATGAATCGAGTTGGAATGTTAATGGTGTGCACTTACAGCTCACTCTGCTTTAGATGATGATTTTAGAGTAGAAGCGGGCCATCAGAGGCATCATGATTCACAACCGCTTTCTCTCTTCTCAGAATACAGATGAATTAGTTCATGCTCAATAGGGAAGGGGTTCCCAACAAGGAGTTATCCCGTCAAACTGCTTCAAACACCACACTCATAACTGACGATGTAAAGAAACGATGAAAGATTGAATACGTACAGGTTTAGTCGTGACAGTCGTAGGCGTACTTAAAAACAGTGATTTTTTTAATGAGAAACTCGTTCAAAGAAGCACGCGATATAACGCGATAGCCTCACTTCTCCCGCTTCGGAACCGCCTCCAACGGCTGGCGATAAGAGAACACGAGACAATGATGATGTTGTGGTTGGAGAAAGGAATGAAGTGGAATAGAAGGTTATGCTTGGAGAGTAAACGCAGGCGAGTGGGTGTGCTCAAGGAGATTAACGAGTGCTCATGTTGGGGAGGTTAATGATATGAAGAGGGGTAGGGAGCACAGTTCACATATTTCAAATCAAGAAAGGCAGCTGCCTGGAATCTCAGAAGACATAAGCACATTCACATTCACATTCACATTCACATTCACATTCACAGTAACGAATCGACCGTAGGATGAACGACAAGTTGGACGGGCCTTTGACCAAACCGAATGACCCAGAGTCAGGGGAATCTCATTCATACATGACAAAATCTATGACCCAACGCCCAAATCCATTGCCATTGCTACCATTGACCGGGTAAAGAACCGCCAGACTTTTTGTGTGCTCGAGTTAAATTAGAATTGAAGGACTAGATTTACTCGTCATCCTCCTCCTCCTCGGCCTCAGCGGTGGTCTGGGCGATACGGTCCAAATCACGCTGACCGGCCTGGGTGATGCGGCGGCCACCCTTCTCCTCGTCCTGCTCAAGGACACCGATCTTCTCAAGAGCCTGCATGACCTTTCGGTCGACGGAGCCGGAAGCATCGACGTGCTTGGAGGGACGGCTGCCGCGGTTCTTGGCGGTACCGTGGACCTTGCGGAGACGGCCGACACCAACGGTCTTGCGGAGGTAGACGTGGCGGGCGATGGAGGCAGCACGGACGTAGAACCAGTCAATGTCCTGGGGAGGGAGCTCCTTAGCAGGACCAGTCTTGACGGTGTCGACCCAACCTGGGCAAGTTAGAAATTTGTTTTGGTTTGAGAGTGAATGTTAGGAGTCATACCAGGGATGGGAAGCTTGCCCTGACGCTTCAAGAAAGCAGAGTAGGCAGTGATGAACTTCTGCGCCTGCAGTCACAAAACCCATTAGCATGATTCCGTCGTCAGAAGTCTTTCGACTCCCTCGCGCCTGCTCCTCAATCCCATTTGTACCCAGCCCTACTGCGCATAGCAGCCGACACAGCGTTCAGTATTAGATGTATAATATTTCGCACTGAGCCAGCGCCATCGCGGGCAAGCGGTTCTCGTGGAAATTGTGTTGCCAAGTCGTCGAGTAGAGATCGTTGGGGTATGTTTTCTCAGGAATAATCGATTCCTTCGGTTCCTGTGATTTTTCTTTTAGGGAGTACCTACATCGACATCGCGAACAGTAACTCCGCCGGCCATTTTTGCGGTATTGTTGGTGGTTGGGTGGGTGGAGGGAAATTGGTCGTTGGGTGAGGTTGTCGAAGCGTCGCGAGGATTGAGCTCGAGGCAATTTGCTAAAGTTGTTGCCAAAAGTTGGGAAAGTGCTATGTAGGGTTTTCGGCCCTACTCCACTTTCCAGATGACTAAGCTGGCACAGTTGGTATCGACAGTGTTGCTGGTTACCAACACTGTACGCCAAGACTCAGTCGGAGAATATCACTGGTGTTAAGAGAACATCAATCTAAATTAGGAAATGTTCGTGTAAGTGACCGATGAGGCTGCACATCACCGGGGTCAGTACTACTGTGTCGACGATCATTGTTCTGAACTCGATATCTCATCGTCAGCAAATCGTTCACTCCCCATGTTTCGATGCGAAATACGAGCGACATCACGTTCATCAGGCAGTCACATTCATTACCAAGGATCAAATATGAGAAAGTAGGTTGATTACTAGTGAAGACAATCATGAACAATCCAGGTATCATTTCTATCCGTCTAACGCAATGCGAAAAAAGATTATTATGTCCCATTCCAACTCTACAATATCCACTTGAAGAAAGACCATTTTCACCACATTTTCTTCTACTCCAATTGCTTCAAGCCCATTTGGCGAGAACAGCCATAACGGCAACACCAAATGCGACGCAAGCAAAGGCTAGCAACAGGATTCTGATGGGAGCCTTGCGCATGTAGGGGTTGAACATGAACTCGTGAGCGAGGAGCTCAACCAGACCGGTGTACATGAGGATACCAGCACTGATGGCGTCGAAAATACCATTGATGAGCTTCTGGTCACTGGCATTGTTGGGCTTGGCTCCTATGCCAGCAGCAATACCAACGGGAGTCGACAGGGCGAAGATGAATCCGAGGAGGTAAGGCATCCACTGTCGGTTACTAGGCCAAGGAGCAACGGCCAGACGCGAACCAAGACCGAGACCCTCGAACATCTGGTGGAAAACAAGGACGATGAGGAGAACGGTGAGCTCATCAGAGGCAATCGTGCCGAGAGTGAGACCGATGAAGATGCTGTGGAACACGACTCCGAACTCAAGGATGAAGATGGCGAGAAGCTGACCAGCAAGTCCGCCCTGAGCATCGCCCTCCTTGTGTTCGCGGCCGTGGGCAAGGTGTTCGTCACCTCCAGGAGCGTAACCAGACCCCCTACGGTCGCCGGTCTCGATGTCCGTGCTGGGTTGCTTCTTAGCAATGATTTCCATAGCAGGATCGAGTTCGTCGGAGTGGTTGTGCTCCATATCGGCATTGCTGAGACGAGCGGCGAGCATTTCGACGAAAAACATGACAATGACAGTCATGAGGGCAATGGCCTCGGCCCAATCGTAGCCGCCCAGACGATCCTCGAGACACTCGTCGCCCAAGTTCTCGACGGCCGGAACCAGAAGATGCATAAAAGCTGTCGCAATAATAACACCCGTACCGACAAACTTGCAAATGAAGAAGGTGAGCTTGGGCACAGGGATCGTCTTCTGTCGCGCCAGGAAAATAGGCAGGATAGCGCCGATCATGGAAGAGGCCATGATGATGAAGATGGCACCAACTCGGAGACCTCTACGGCCGAGATCGACGGCCTCGCCATTGCACTCTGCTGCGTCGGCCATGTTGTCGAGTGAAAGATGCTGAGAGAAAGAGGAATCCGGTATGAAGAGGAGGAGAATAGTCTTATGTACGAAATGTACGACCCAGAAAAGATGCGCGGGTCGATAGTAGGTAGTAGGTTAGGCTGAGGGCCGTGAGGTGGTAGCCGGGAGCGATGTCGTCAAATGCCAAGACGTAGAGCTGCACAAGCCAAGGATGTTTTCGACTCCTAGTTCCCCAAAGAGGAAGCGGCCAAGGGTAATCGAGGTGTGTGATTCGAAGTGCCAAGACGCGTACTAGCACTGAAACTGTTTTGCTGCTGCTGAAGAATAATCCAAACTCGAATAAACCAGCGAGTTGATATCTTTTTTATAACAAAAAACCAACAAGATTATTCACTCCAAAAAATGACAAAGAAAGTCGCGATGAACCTTGATGGGCGCGCAGCCTTGATAAAGAAAGTGGGCAGCGAAGAAGGTGCCGTTAAACCCGATTTTCGCTCCCTCGGGGCTTTAGGTTGACTTTGGTTCTAGCACAGCACAGGGCAGGACCCAGATTTGCTTAAACGGACGGAAGCGAGGTGCCGAGGGGGATGTCGCCTAGATTTTGGGAGCCGCAAAAGCGTGGGATGGAGATGGAGAGTGGGTTCTAGTTTTATCTAGGACCAGGGGTTTGGTATATATCAAATATGTAAGGTGATGATGGTGATGATCAAGGTTTACGCTTAAGAAGAACCATAGAAGAGATATGCTTACATCGTGTTATACTACGCTATACAGCTATATCATTGTTGATCACTTACTGTGACTGATATACTGCTAACGGGGAGATTCCCTTTCACAGTTATAGCATAAACTCAATCCTTAGCAAAGGTATATCTTCCAGAATCCTTTCTTTGGTACTACTGTACATTCACAAGAGATCCTGTATATCCGTTGCGCTCGACGTCCCAAGGGCATGGAACTCGGCAACTGCCACATTCCTTGGCATGTATGTCATGATCCACCGTGACATGAGACTCGACAACACAATCTCTCTTCCAAGCCATTGATCCTTTTGAGGGAAAAAGAAAGGAACGTGGTGGTTAGCTCTGTTGTGAAGTAGGAGTGGGTCATTCAAAGTGAGGACCTTGATGGACAGTTTTAGCCTCATTGGGTGGGCGGCTACGGCCGTTGAAGAATATTCTGAATTGTGGCTGCAATTTACATATCTCCAGGTATGAGCGTTCTATACTTGGTCGAACACTGTCTTATTGTCTTTTGATCTTCTGCGTGACTATCTCATGATATTTGTTCAACTTTTTGACACCATGAACAACATCAATTACAAGTCAGTGTTCCAGGAACGTTGAAAGAACCTTCAACATAAAGTGTGGCGGTCCCCTAGAAATATCAATCTCGTCGAATCTCATTGGCCAGCCGTGTTAACAGCCACATCCGACAATTAAGAAGGCCATCAAGGTTCTCCCTCAACTTATGGGTCAACTCTCATCCATGAAAACAACCCACGCAATCATAACCACCAAAAGGCCTCTCAGTCGGCTCAGACGGCAACATTAGACCCTTCAGTTCGACCGAAGGCGTATATCAAAGACCAATACGCTAATGCATCAGCTGCATCGGGGGGACCAATATTACTCCGCTGACCATAAACAATATATCGAACTCAAAATGTTCTTAGTGACATGAAGTCTGTGTGGCAACTCTCACTATCAATTCCAAATCTATGGATGGCCACCTTCAAAAAAACACAATGCCTAACGCCAATGATATGCTTCAATCGTCCGAAGTCGTACAGTTATAGCCATATTAAACTCTTGAGACCCCCACAAGCCGACCGCTAACCGTCCTCCCTGTCGCTATTCCCGTTTCATGCAGAGCCCATCGCTGGATCCCATGTTGCATCATATGTATGAGCTACCACAGGGCCCTGTCAATCATGATCCCACGGCCCGACAGCAGTAGCGGCATGCATCCTGCTGTGCGCGCATCCACAAAACGTGGTATGGTTTCACGCCATCATTTCATGAGGAAAACTGTATTTCCAATCCGAGCGTTCGGAAAGGCTTGTCGAGCTTCCTCAGGTCAATCCCACTACCCAAGCTGAACAGGAGAGATTTGACCCGCCCTTCCCACAGTACCCCTATGCGCATGTTTTGGTCCAGGCGGGTTTTGAGTACTCCAGCATACCTCTCCTCACCAGGCTTTTCGGGCTCTGGTTCGTTCTTCGGGGGCGGAGGAGGCGGCGGTGGTGGCTTGACCGCGACTGGTTCGGGATCATCCAGACGCCATTCCAACTTGGCTTGGAAACTGCGCTCCTTTGGTCGTTTCTCCTCTGGCTCATCAACAACAACCACTTTGTCTTCGACAACTGGCTCGTCCTCGATGACAGGTCTTACGAATGGCTTCCGCCAAAGCTCCATGCCAATGGCCCAGGCGCTTTCGTAGCTGAAAACATTGAACTCCATCCTAGTGGCAAGGCTGCAATGCTTACCGGCCACTACGGCATAACTTGCACTGATGTTGCCCATCAAGGGATTCAACGTCAGCGTCGCGGATAAAGGCGTCCCCTTGTGGGCAGGTAATGTCGCAAATCGGGTTCCCACACTGATTCCTCCCGACTTGTTCAGGGTGCCGTAATAGATTTCTCCACCGGTGCTGAACCGCCCATAGATTCTCTCCTTGTCATTATCGACATGGGCTTGCTTTTCCGGGCTTTCGGCATCACCGCCGAAATTATACACACCCCTAAAACCGAGCAATCCTCCGTCTGTGGAGGCCAGACCCTCGAGTGCGTACTTTCCCACGTCATATTGTGCCAAGCCTAGAGCTGTGCCGCCGTTCCTAAGGTGCTGCGCAGAGACAGCGCTGAGCTGGACTTGAAGCGCGGGCGATAGTCGTCTGACGAATAGAGCTTCGAGGAGGGACTGGGGTAGGTACAGGCGGCCGTAGAGGAGAGACGATTCGGGCTTGTCCTTGGACGTTTGAAGGAAAGGATTCGTTCGGTGGGGAAGTTCGGCGAGGGGTTTGTATGATCGTAGAAGCTCCGGGAGATTGACAGTTTCCGACTGCGGCGTTAGGAGAAGTCGAAGCGGGACTGACGAGAAGAGGTATGAGATGGAGCCGTCGACGATTCCGACCGAACCGAGCTGGTAGGATGTCGCGAAATTGGTGCTTGCGAGGGACGAAAGAGTGAGCCGTAACCCTAGAGGGGTCTGGAAGTTGAGAAGTGCTGCAAGTCGAATTGTTAGTACAGGTCATAGCTCGAGTCGATGCTGTGACCTTACCATCACTCGTCACATTGAGCGCTGCGTATGAGTTATCGCGATTCCATCCTGTAGCTTCGTAGAAGGCGCTGTGGACATAGTCCATGAACTCGCGCATATCAAGGGTCGATTATCATGCCTCCCTGAGAGTGATAGTTGGTCACTCCGGAAGCTTGGTGCTAAGTTGTGCTGAAGCTCGAATAGGTAGCAGGTGAGATGAAGCTTGGGATGGAGGTAAGGGCGGGAAAATATCGGCAACCTGTCATGACTCTTACCCTATACCTTCTAAAATTGAACTGCGAATCGCAGACGGGTTGTCACAAATTCATGATAGAGTATTTAACCTCAATGAATGCTGTTTAATCGGCAAAATATTGTCCATAAGTCCATGTTTTCACTGATAGGTACACTAGTAGGGAGGTTGGTAGTGGAATCTTTATCTGAGTAGAGGTAGTCTGCAAACACTAAACAGACGCAACATCGATAGAAGTCTTTAGGAGCAAGTAACAGTATTTGAAGGAGGGTTGGCCCGAGAGACTTAGTCGATCCAGCCCCAGATTCCTCATCGATACAGGACAAAGAAGGTCAGTCAGTAGGTATATTTGTTAGAAGCTGCTGAAGCATGTGGAGTCACACTTGGTACCCATTCAAGTACTCTTCCCCCATGCACCACAATAACCTCACCACTCCAGACATCACACTTAGAGCAAAATAACAGCAGAGAACAAAAAGATTATTCTGAAAAGCAAAAGAAAAGTGATACTCCGGTGCGGGGAATCGAACCCCGCTCGCCGCGGATTTCTATGATGAAAACGCGGTATGCTAACCGATACACCACACCGGATGTAATTTGATGAAAGAAAGAGAAGAGTATGTTACTTATAAGCGACTCAGATCGGGCTGTTAGCGTCAGGTCCGAAGTGGGTTCAGGTCAGATCTGAATGGAGACGTAGATCGGGGTCAAGAAATGAATACGTCAACGATTAAGTCTGGCCCACGAATGACATGGTGAACTGCAAGAAAGAAGGATGTCGAGTAGATACATAGACTAGACTACGACGGGGTTGAAGAGACTGGAGGAGAAAACAGTCCGGTTCAGATATTGAGCTTTTCCTGGTGGTAGATCATCGTTACGCCCCTGGCATGGATCTTCACCAATCAGCTTGCACGATAGCACCTCAAACAGTTGTTGTTCGCAAGAGAAGCCACGCTGAGTGAAGGATGTCACTGTTGTCCATAATAGCTCTCTATTAATGGTCTACGTTAACAGCCCGGCGTAAACCCGACAACAGCCGTAGCAGGTGAATGTCACAGCAGCCCCGACCCAGAGACTCGGTTCATGTGGCGTTATTTTCTTCAAGAGATGAGGAGTCCTTGTCTCATATGAGGTGAGACATCACTTGTCGAATCTGGGGAAACGATACACGAGATGGTCAACTGCAAGCCATGGCCAGCCCCCTACTCATACAAGGGCCTGCATCATGCTTGATGTGTTGTATTCAAGCCTCTCTTCCCATCGTCCGCATGCGGAGCTGCAAATATGCAAGCCTAGACTTTTGTGGCTTGTAGAGCGGTTCAATTTTTATTCTCGGTATGCCTTATTCACAGTTAAAACCTCAAACTAGCATGGACTCGGAGTGAATACTCCGTACATGAAGTAATTCATGGCATTCAAGAGCTGCATTGGTATATTGCTCAAGAAAAAGAAATATCCCAAGGAAAATCCTAGAGTTTCATGACGATATACCCTTGCTTGGTTACATCGGACGACAGGAACGAGTCAGCTGAAGACATTAGCTTGCTTGGGGAACAGGCGCACGATACCCCGGAAAATGACCCCTGGTTTTCTCTGGCGTTGAGCATCCTGGCCTTCACTTGCGGGGGACCAAGTGAGCTGAAATCCTTCGACAAGGATTTGCCTCGTTTTTACAATGGCCTTGTTGAAATTTTCCCATATGCAAAGAGAAAGGTAGAGTTTATGTTTGTCTTCTTGTGTAGTCTTTAATTAAGTGCGTGTATCCATTGTTTGTATATGGGGAGTGTCGCCTCTCCTTATATCTGTATGTATAGTATATCCAAACTCGGCAGCTAAAAGGCAAAACAAATAAAAAATGACTTATTTCGCATGCTCAATGCTATAAGGTTCATGTCTCGGAATCGAAGAACTGGCTTCACTAACAGCCCTCTCGTGATGTTCCATAATCTCATCCTCCTGCTCACTCTGCGGTTCGCTATTCGGCGATCTAACGACGTGTGTCACAACAGTCTTTTTGATGCCCGCAAGATTTTCGCGATGCTTGAGCTCTATCTCGTCCTCCTCGCCGAGCTCGATGTGCGTTCTTGTAAGGCCGCCTGCAAAACGACCGGGGCGAGTGCTGTTCTTGTTCGTCGTACGGGAGCGGGAACTGTAGTCGTGCTCGCCATCGCCAGAGTTGTTGCCGGCACGGACAACCTTGCCGATCAAATCGGCCATGTTCATTTCGATGTGAAGTTTGCATAGATACACGAGCGGGTGGAATTGGACGTAGACGAAGCTGTTCGGTAGAGACATCATACCAATAAGGAGGACCTGTCATATATTATTAGTAAGAGAACACATCGATATCTCGGAAATCACAACTTACATCCAACGCAATCGAGATTCCGACGAGGAACATGTTCATGTGATATAACCTTGTGTACTTTTGCAGACCGTTCGCAACAAGGCGTTTCTTAACAACCCAGATAAAGTAAAAGTTGAGAACCGCATCCATAAGTGCAAAGAGGACCTTTTCGAGTCGATCCCAGACTTCGTTGACATGGATAAATGTCTCACTGATTTGAAGGCGCGCTGGGATCCAAACTGAGAAGACGCTGATGTTGATGGCTAGGAGGATGAAGAAGCATGTCCACTTGAGTATGGTTGCATTGCGGCGGACGACCATTAGAAGACCGACTCGATTGATGATAATTTGGATCAGACATTGAACTTGTATCGACCAAAAGACGACTAAACATAAAGTCAGCACAGAGTTCCCACACAAACAAGCACAAGAGAGATGTAGACCTACTGATAAAGAAGTAATACTGAAAACTAGGCTGTATAAATCCCCGGAGGTACATCCAGACCAGGATTCCAAGAGCAGTACTCGAGATAACCTCAGCCCAGATAAAAGCGATATAAGCAGTCAGTCTTTTTCGTCGTTGGATAGCCGTCTGCGTTTGACGAACGGCCTTTGCAGAGTTGAAGATGGAAACGCCGAGTGATAAACCCCAGATAATAGAAGCGAATTGCATATCGGAGTCGGAAGGAGGCTCTTCCTTGAAGTGCGCAGGCACGAGGAAGCCTCGCTCTTCGGAGCCCATGTTTGCGGTTAATGAGAGACTGAATTGATATGGCCAAGGAGTGTAGATGAGAAAGTTTTCACGATGTGGATATAAATCCAGCACGAGAGGAATGTGGATGCTGGGAGGCAGGTGAGATGGGTTTATACTCCAGATATCAAAGAGAAAGAGTCTTGGCAGGGAGTTGAGATGAAGTATGCCAGGTTTTCAGAGACAGGGCAAACGAGCCGTCAAAAGCAACATGGTGGTGAAGTCGAGTCACGGCCGTGCAGTTGATACACTTCCCCAGACAGCCAACTAACTACAATTTACAGCAGCAGAAGCAAAGCTAGAGCATGAATCTTCAGTGGCGGGAGTTGCATCCGGTGATACGCAGGCATTATCCCTACTCCGTACGTCCAGCGCTAACTAATGAAAACTAAACTAGGGAATAAGAAAGGAAAGAAGAGGCTGTGGCGTTTGATTGACCGCTGTGCTGGTATGAAACCGAACTAGAAGAGCCACTCGGAATCTATTCTCAACAATGAAAAGAACCCTGAATGGTTATCTCGACCCTCAACCAGGTACTGTAGGCAAGTAATTGATGTGGATGTCCATAGACCCACGATACTGTTAACCCATGTCCGGGGAACATCCTAGTACGTAGTATAAAAGTTCCTCTCCATGTTTACATCCAATACTGATGAACAAGAATCTCCGTACGTCCGGATGAGATTTTAGAAGTTGATTCTGATAGCGCTAGGCATGCCTCTGTAGTATCCCCGCGCTCTTCCCTAGCGTCTTCATGAGTCAAGGTCTCGAACACAAGGCTGAGATCGACAACTAAAAACGCCAAACTAGTTCTGGCTCGCATTTTGCTTTGACATTCCTTTATCCCAGAGGATTGGTTGCAGGGTCAGGGGAAGCGGCTTGAATATACTGTTATGGTAGAGAGTAGACTTTTTACAGGACACCTTCGCTTCTTAGTCCAGACGTTGAAGCTCGGATAGATGATACCCAAAACTCTATTTCATGAGGGTCTAGAGCTGTGACACAGGGGATTCATTTGAGTAGATACGCATGTTCTCCATTGGAGATGTCCTCAAGAGATTATTATTTATTTAATCACTCTACTGTTTAAACCGCACATTGTCTATCATTGACTTGTCCATGTATCCTAGATCATCTCCGGGATAAAACCTAGTATAAAGCGGCTGAAGCGGATACCTCGAAATAGCCTCCTTCGCACAAACATTAAACGGCCCGTATCCTCCATCTCCCGCTCCAAGCAATCTAAAACGTTGATCTACAAAATACAGCCAACGGTAACTTCGGTGCAAAACCCAACGTTGGCTATGATCATCACCTGTAAATTAGGCCGTAAAGACCCCTGTAGTGCGCTGTCTGTGCTCTTTATTGCCCTTAGCTTCTGGGTCCTAAGCCAAGAAACGATAGAGTCCAGATTTGTCTGAACAATATAATCCACTGAGCTGAGATTATCTATGTCATCGTCAAACGGATACATGTTTTCCGTCGGACTAAGTATTCCTTCTATCAAACTTGTAGATCTCGTCTAGTTAATAATCAGCGTATCAACGGCTGAGCTACAGAGTATACGGGTGAGTGAAATTGGCTCTAGAATCCTTCAGTCTCTAGTCGTAGAGCTAGTACAGAGTATTCCACACACGTTCAACTATGTCCGATAATAACCGCGAGGATTTCATGTCAAACACGAGGCTGTCGTTCATACCCGTAAAGTCTAGCCAAGGTGTAGAAACTACAAGCGTTAGACTTGAACTGGTGGCTGTGTTAGTCTACCATAGTCTGGTTGCCTTCCGATTCGACGAGTCCTCTCGCCTTCACCACCATATCTGCTATCTGCAAAACGATTCATCTCAAACACAGAAAGTAATAGATCATATCATCTTATCACAAGTGAACCTCTCCCTCTAAGAAAAATCCAGTCCGAGCACAGCCCTACCACAAGACTCGAGTCAATCTAACGCCTCAAAGTCATGGCGATACTTTCACACTCACTTCTTTGCATCAAAACGCAAACGCCTCAAAGCCTCAACCGTCGCCTTAGACCCGTACCATTCCCAGTAATGATGAAAAAGTCGTACGACAGCTAGACCCCTGGATGAAAGCCCAGTTCAGCCGGTACAAGTTTCTTCGTCTAAAGTTGGGGTGCAGGACTAGGCCGTGATAGTTTAGAGACCACACACCATCAGACACATGTACAGCTCACCACGTGCTCTTTGGTTCGGGAGCGTTATCCCCGAGACAACGTCAATTTCGTTGCGCGCTGAAGGCCAAGCCCTTTTGTCCGTATGCCTAGATTGAGGCTGAGGTCCAAGTAAAGGTCAAGCTTCGATTACTGATAGACTAAAAACTAGCCTTTTTGGATTTCTGTATGAGAGACGTCAAGCCTATATAAGAAGGCAGGTGCTTCTCTTACATTTCCCTTCACCCGAAGCTTCTGGATATCCCTACTCGTGGCAAAATGTAGGCAGGGGCAAATTATTGTGCCCCTATCCTTAGTATGGATGCTGGGCTGGCAGGTGAGTGTGAGAAGAATTATCCTCTGCGGCTCGGCCTACAGAAATCAGGTAGCCTAACCGCTAGCATATACTCGCATAAGGTGACCAAGTTATTTCGTCTCTTGTGCTTTCGATGGTCACTTCTTGACACCTTGGTGGCTGGCTGGATGACTTCGCCGAATAGATTGAGAATTATAACGGATCGTGGAGCTGCGTAATATGAGGAATACTGAGTTACTGGACGTTCCGCGGATATCATGACTGGAAAGGTAAGTATAATCAATCTTAACACATGCACCGTTTTCGAAAGCGGAGAAAGTTACGGAGTATTGTTCTCTTTAGCTACTGGATCTCGAAATACATGGCGAGCTTCCCTCTGAATCTCTCGTATAAAGCTTCCTTCTAAAGCTCTCTAATAAAGCTCCCTCTCAAAGCTCTCATATTAAGCTCTCTTGTGAAGCCCTCTAGAACTTTCCTTTTCGTGATCCAGTAGCTTCCTCATCTCATCGTTCAACGCCAGTTGTCTTGAATGTTGACCAAAACCAAGCAGAGCTCAAAAGTCCGGGCACCATTGCTCGAGGTTAGCGACCCTGGCCTCAAGCTCACGCACTTGCTGCTGAGTAGTTGGGTTATCCGGAAGGGACAGTTGCAGGGTCTCCATGTCGTCCCTGAGCGAACGATTGACCTTCATAGCTCTGTTCAGTCTGAGATTGAAATCCTCGCGCATCTGCTCAATTTTCTCATCAAGGGACTTCTTCATGTGACTCATCTCCAGAGAGAGATGAGCTACAGTGTCGTTGTTAGTCTTGGTGATGAAGTCCTTCAGTTCCTGAATCTGCTGGCTTGAGAGAACTGGGGTATGCTCAGTGTTGGAGCTAGCAGGCGTAATGACACCAACCTCAGAATCCTCAGTCTCGGAGGAGAACTTGGAGGCGAAGGCGTCGTGGCCCTTACAAGCACTTCGGCCAGACTGTCTGGGGTAACCACATGCGTCGTCGGCTCTATCATCTTCCGCGGTGGTCTCCTGGTGAGCCATCTCCTTCGATTCGACGTACTCTAGATCGGGCGCTGCATAGATGCGATTCGCCGCAGGAAGACCCCAGGCACACTTCTCGTTGTTGGAGCCCCATCCGGAACGCGATTGTCGTTGGTAATGTTGATCATCGGGAGGAGGCGAGCATTGAGATCGACCCCATGCCTGGCGGACTGGCAGGGGGTCCCAAGTCCCAGGCATAGCAGCTTCCTCGGAAGGAGCATCGGCATTCTTGTTGTTCTGCTGGTCAAGGGCTATGAGTCTGTCAGTTAGCAAATGATATATATAGATAAAGCAGACATGTAACTTACCAAGGGACAGTGAAGCGTGTTTCGTGTTCCACCAAGGGTCGTGGACAATGACCTTGTTCTTTGTCTTCAAGGACTCATCGGGTTCATCCTGGACAGAGTCATGAACTCCTTCATTGACTGCTTCGACATCGTTGACAGAGCACTGATAATCCTGAGCGACAGGAGGCTCAAAGCTACCCCAGAAGGCCACTGGGTTTCCATTGCAGTCAGTTGCTTGGTTTGCGTCCCGGTCAATTTCTGGGTATTTTCCCCATCTGATGAACCTGTGAGGACCCAGATCAGGATCCGTTGGATAGAGGCATTTGAGGATGACATAGGCGGAAAAACTAGAGCGCTTTGGGTAGAGCGGGTGCTTTCTGGCGATCCAAGCGAGGTCTTTGGTGACGGACGGGTCCCAGAGATAGTCGATAATGTCGATCTTGTGCTGAACATCCCAGTGTCGAGAGTGCTTATTCCAGACATTCCTGAGACGCCTGAGATCATACTGATTCAGACAGTCATGCGGGAGGTCGTCAGAGTCGAGAGGCGGAAACTTGACGTTCACTCCGTTCGCCATCTTGTCATAGTTCCAGTCAACGGCTTCCTGTTTGTTATTCTGTGGTTAGTTGATCTGAGTTAAAATGATATCGTGAGATGTGGTTTCATACATCTTGTTCCTTCTTGCGAGTGCTCATCGTGAATGTCTACGAGCGATGCTCGAGATGATTCTTTGTTGGATCGTGAGGATGCGGTGCAAGAGTGAAATCTTGCGTTGAAGAAATGAGGAGGAGAGAATTTTATTTCCTCTGGTTTGTTTTTAAAATTCCTCTCTCCCGCTAACGTATTGTGCGTTCCTAGAAATCAGCAGCTCGAGTGACTGCCTGCCAGCTGGTCAGCAGTGATTCACTGTTCAAGGAATCACTTGCTCAGGCACTACCTAACTCGGCACTCCCAGCCACTGCCCGCATGTAATCAAAAGTTAGGTATTCCTAGCCCACTGTCACTTGGGTGATTGATCACTGCATTATCTGGTGCATAGTAAACCCAGAGCTTCAAGTTCAACGATCTCCCTGCCTCGTAGAGTTCTAATGAGGCTATTCCCACAGATCAACCGTTCAGGGGTATCAACCATCGATAAGATAAAGGGACAGCGGCAGCTAAGATTCCGAGTGTTCATAGAAACAACCGAAGGAGACATGTCACGTTTGTCACTGTAGCGTATGTTCCTCTGTGAGAAAATCAATGGGTCAAAAAGGAGTTCATCAATAACTCGATGAAAGAGACCATGGCAGATGCAGATGCAATTATCTTCACGTCGGTTAGCGGATCGACTGGGAGGTATGTCTTTTCTTTTAATCGATAACTGCCATACAGAGAACCTCGTCTATGCCTCTGTCATGAAGTCTGTTGAATATTGTCATCGCATCCATTCTGAGTATTCCGATACCTGGTACCTTGCTAGTTAACCCATCTTGTCTACTGCGCTCTCCCGTACAGTAATCTATGCGAACAGCCATGTGGTGGAATATTGGGCATCACATATACATGTTCTTGTTTGATGGTATCAGTTGTCTAAGACTTTACACTAAGGTTGCAGTTGTGATTTACGGGCTCATCGGTGCCTACATTTCCACCTTGTCGAATCCACAACATCCAACATCCATACTTGACCTCATCTGCCCCTACCCCCTCAGGCGGATCGGAAAATAACCAGGACACAGAAGCCTATTGAGAAAATCACTTAGGCAACCTTAGGCACTAAAGCTTAGGAGAGAGTTTCCTAATCTTTATGATACACTTAACTAAGTCCCGATTTTTCTTTGACCTACCTGCCCACTTCCACTTCAACATCCCTCGAGGTCCCCTTTCCTCTTCTTGATTCACCATCCACCACAACAATCATGGTCGGCTTTTCAGCCAGATACAAAAAGTTCCCCTCCTTGGACACCCCAAGCTTTTCCAAAGACCCCTTGAATCAACAGATCCTGCGCAACCTCAAGAAGCTGTACGATGAGCACTCTAAAGACTGGGACCGAGGCACCAGGTATGCCATCATCGATCACGTCCTCAACGGTGACACAGCAGTCACCGAGCGCATAGCTCTTGCTCCTTGCAAGCACAAACTGCTGAGCCGGAACATGACTTTTGCAATCTGGGTTGTCTTGAGAGCTACCTACGGCTTCAGCAAGATCGTCAGACTGCAACACAGACTTGTCACGCAATACCCGGGTATTGATCCGGAATCCTTGGTCAGTCCTCTCAAGAGCAGTACTCTCGAAGAGGGAACATCACAGGTGAGTCCGTCGCATAACTATTGATGCATGCCCTAATACTATTAGGTTGCCCGACACCGCGAGCCAAGCATCTTTGGACCAGTAGGCGTTTCCCAGTTCACGTACCAACACCAACAGCAAAGCGTCCCCCCAAAGCGAAAGCAGCTTGATATTGTGGATTTTCAGCCGTGGAAGATCTCAAACAAAAAGATCAAAAATGAAGAGGATACCACATCCAATCTACGCTCGCCTGCTTTTCAGAAACCCCTCCTGCCTGCACAAGAGGGCCACAGCACGACTTCCGTTGCCTGCAATGCCCTTCTTGCATCGATTGAAAGCCCTGAGCAGGATACCTTTCATGACCCCGAGAACGAGGAAAATTGTGATCCGTCTCTTCAGACCGCCCTCCACAGTTCTGCACAAGCCCTTGATTCTAGCCATTCAGTCTCAACAGAGATAAGCGGTAACCAGTCGGCCAATTTTACCCCCCTCATCCAACAAAACCAAGATTTCAATGTTCAACTCCACAAATTACGATCGGAAGTCGACCAGATAAAGAAGGAAAGGGATATCGAGCATCAAGGGTTCATCAAGATAATTGCGTCGCTTCGTGAGGAGCTCCGAACGGTCAGCCGTAAATCGACCCAAGGACAAGTCTTGACCAAAGCCTCGAAAGTTGATACCGCATTGACGGAATACAACAATGCTGCCCGCGCGCTGCGTACATCCCTCGACTCACTGGCAGTGGAATTGGAATTGGAATTGGAACTGGTTGAGAAGAAAGATCAAGAGAAACACTTGCAGGACTTGGGAACGACTGTTCATACGATGAAGAGTTCCATGATGGCTGTGGAAACGTACTTCGATCCCCAGCAACAAAAATTCCGAGACAACATGAAAGCTCTTGGCACGATGGGTTGAACCTATATGCTAGGTAATCATGGGGGGTACGAAGAAATTACTTGGCGAAGTTGCTGCTGTCGAAACCTGAGTAGATAGAACTTTCACATAAGCTCAATACAGGTAAACAATGCAACGCTGCTCAAAGATCTTTAGTGCCTCTAACTGTGACATGTACTTCATGAAGTGAGCTAGTCAAAGTATGCTTCTTCTTCTTGAGCCACCCGGCTGTGCACATCCCGCACCTCTGTCGTCATATAATCATAAATACTTAGATTTCTTAGTAAAACTTTAGGACATTTTGAGAATCTGCTTTCGTCTGTTAGGCTTCTGGTTAGACCAGCTAGGCAACTGGAGGTGCCCGGGCGGGATGTGCACAGCCGGGTGCTCAAGGAGATACACTAACTAGCCAAGTTCTCCAACATAGAACATTCACATGCACCAAGGGTCTTGTCTATTCTACGGATTTCCCCAACTCCAAGCCTCAAATCACGGTCGACGGTAACTCTCTCCTAGCGGTCGGCCCGTCCGCCGGTCAAGTCCCCAGCCCACGATGTCATCTCTTGCCGAAATCTCTGCATACCCTACCTGCCTGCTTCAACACCCTACCCTCACCCTCTAGAAACACAAAAGTGCATTCTTTTCCTGCATGGAACAATCTAGTGGATGCATGACGTTGAATCGATACCCACTTTCCTTGTTTGGTAGGGACTTGTTGCTTTGTGCATTTAGATGCCGGAGATAATTCTCCAAATTCTTTTTTTTCATGTTGTAAAACACCATCGTGAGTCGTGCCGTTGTCGGACTGGACTATCTACCCCAAGGGGTTCTCACTCTATTTGACTCACATCTATACCAATTCCCTTCATTTAGGTATTGGCACTGTAGAAAGCGTCAAAGCGTGTTCTGCAGCCTCACTCCCATCCAAATCTGGCAATTCCTTATCTTCCAACCCCAGAAAAGGCAACTTATCTCTCTCCCCAGAAACCCCAGACTTTTCATAGAACATTCTTCAGAGATAAGACCAATTCTCTAAATCTGGGCAGCTCTACAATTGGACCGTTCCTTATCTCGAGCAATTCACCCCTGATTGTCCGTACATATGTATATCGACATGCCTTGCATATAGCTTATTTAGACCTTGCGACCATTTTCGGTATATCAAGAGCAATCAATACATTGCTGGACAAGGTCACATGGTCGGAGTTGAGCTCCGCGCTACCGTCAAAGACAGAGCAATGCTTGTTTTTCGTATGAGCTCACTTTTGCCCGGTTTGTATGTCTAGAATCTTGATCTGTCCAGGTTTGCACGGATACAAACAATCGGTCATAAGGCGGAGGAAACATCTTGTGTGAGATCTTGGTTGCATCGTGGTCAGATGTGGCTTGTTTTGTTCCCGAAGGAAAGAAGAAGTTGTAGAAGCACTACGTTAGAGCCTTCGGGATGTCACAAATGCTCTAAACTACCCCAAAATTAGATCGTGGCAGAGCTAAAGCTTAATTCTCATAGATTTGATCATGGCTTGATGGTGATCTGAGAACTTATCTCATAGTTCATTCAGGCTGTTAGGGAGTTTTCGTTACACCGGCTTTAATCGAGCGGTATTCTAATGTTATTCCCGTTAAGAGGGTCAGTGGCATGAGGGTCGCATATCTACACCAAACATGCTTCAAGATTATCCGCAGGAAGCGAATTCCCATTGCTAAATCTCATGATCGCCATCGTAAAACACGCTGCTCCAGCATAGAAAACAGCGAAATCACCCGTCTACTCATATCATCTTGTCGGTATCGAAAAGTGTCGTTGTGACAGGTCCCTTTCAAGATGGGACGTTTTTGTCAAGTGTCCCACGAAACAGTCGATTGCTGCACGGACGTGGCCGAGCAGCAGTCTCGAAAGGGTCGAAAAAGACTTTAGGCGCATGACGCACAGCCATCCACCCGTCCAGAAAAGGTCACCATCGGCATAGAAGTAACCCTGGGCGTCGGTCCAAGATTATGGATCTAGACTTCCGGGGCACAGTAAGCACTGTGTTAGCTAAGAAAGGAGAGAGCTCCAGAAAACTCGTCAAAAGTCTTGGCTCAGGTCCTGGTGAGAAGGACAAATGAGAGCACCTTACAAGGCAGACAAGCTGTGACAAGCCAGCTGCCTTTCAAAACGATAGCTTCGTGGGGTCGACCCGGAGCTTCTTCCGTTAATGAGATATCAATGACGGGTGTTCTCCCGTGGTGTCTACTCTGTGCTTCAATGAAGAAGCTAAGCTTAGACCATGGCGGAACAGAAATTTGGTACACGACGATCGATCTTGTGATAGTCCATCAGTTTGAGCCTCATCGATTAAACACCGCCGATCGCTAGCTGTTGCAGCTTCAAGTGCAACCGTGCTGAAGCCAAGTTCAAGCTCTATTTCGAAGCGATATCAGTAAGACATTTTCGAGCCCAAACGCCCAACCCAATGTTTCGGTTGCTGCCAGATGGGTCTTGTCAGGAACAATTACACGTTGAACCAGCAGGGTCAGACCGCTTCAGAGATTTGTTTCAGGAATCGTGACGAGTATTCGCAACTCCTTACATTCTCGTTTGTCGGATTGAGTCGCTTGACATCGGGACATGGGATAAAGTAGACGGTCCGCGACATTGTCGTGGTGTGGAACGTTCAGTTTGTCGAGGGAGCTCAGAGAATCCACCCAAAGTCTCAACTCGTCTTGTGATGCTCCAAAGGCCCCATCGCAAGGAGGATCCCATGGTATAATTATAGCGTAAATTTGCACCTTGTTCCGATGCGGCTCAAAACTGGTCTGCGCTTTCACTGTGCCATGAATGGAAGAATTTTCCAGAGGGGTGTCGCTAGCAATACGCTCGTGCACGATCCGTTTAGGACGTTCGATGTTTATTCCCAGCTGAACTCAAGGGTCGCCAAGATCAGTCTAAAGGGACGATCTTTAGCTCTCATTAACATTCTGCAAGTTTATTGATAATGGTGCAAGCGATGGCGAGCTTACTGCTGCTTGGCTTCCAGGGTTTCGACGCCTTGTTGAAGTTGAGATATTGGAGACGAGGGCGGTGCCAAATTCTAGAAGCCGAAGCCTGGAAGCACGTTGGGCTGGGGTGATTCGTGATTGCATGCGGCGCCCTTCCCGGGTCCCGACCTGGCTGCCAAGTACATACATCGACAGGGCTGAGTTGAAAACGCACAAGGGATTTGAGCCTCTAAAGTGAGAAGTCGAACATTGTTGGCTGAACCCTCCAAATTTTTATGTAATAGCAGAAGCACTGTGCGGTTGGAGACTGATGCATGATCTTCAGGAACCAGCAATGCGTCTTTAATGCTGCGCAAACCAGGCCCCTTGGCGGACTTGGGAGTATTCTTTAGTCAAGAGCCTCATCTCAGACGATGCGGCTCTCTCGTTTCGGGTTTGCCCGAGTAATTTGATGGTTTGCGCAGTGATACTTGCTGACCTCGTGTTTGAAAAGAAACGTGGCATAGTAAAACTCGTATTAGTGAATCGATATAGATCTGCCGCGCAAGAGGGCGCGCATGTATGTAACCGTAAATAGTGGCAATCTGATACCAAGTCCAAATCTTCAATGCTCCACTCTGGACTACTGTACACGAGCTGACGAAGAAAGCGTCTAAAACTGAAGCCGCGAATACCGGTTAATGTTTCGATCTCGAAGGCGGGGGCGCTTCCTCGGAATGTCAGTAGCCGCGGCTAAGAGATGAATTGGTGCCGTTTCTGGTGCCGAATATCAGAGTTTGGAAGATCAGGGACCTTCTACTAGCGAAGTAACGATAGCATTCGTTTGGGACGCCATGAGCATCAAGGTTCACCATGGTGACAGTGGTATTGATGTTTACTTTCATGTGAAGATGCAATACGCTAGGCATCTCGATCGATGGGTCATGTAGACGCAATTGTTTGACGCAAAAGTCGTCGTAATATTACACCGAATTGATGCCACTGTTGTAAGTTTGGCGTTGAGACGGTTGCAATTGTATCATATCGATAATTGTAGACACGTGTATTGCTCAAGACCAGTGATATTGATGTCGAGACAGTGTTGGCGTTGTTAGTCTCGGTGAGTTACCTCCCCTAAAACAAACAGTCTGCCCAAGTGAGTAAGCTCTTACCCTATGGTAACGTAAAAGGCGAACCCTGTTGATGGAGGCTTTCACGATGTCGTAACAAACGGTATGATTGGGGGTGTGTGGTGTTGTTTTGCGGTTTACCGACAAGGGATAATGCTGGAGGACCCAAACACTTCCGTTTCTGATGCTTGGTACATCTCCAATTAAAAGCCTGGTTCTTTTGTTCTTTTGCTAAAGATCAAAACTTCGAATCAAGAAACGAAAGGCCAAGTTGGGCTAGTGCAGGTGGTCAGTACTTTTTTTTCCTCAGAGATTTTCCCAGGATGTTTGAGTCTTTCATGACACCGTTAAAACCTGGAACTTCTTGGAACATGAACGGAAAGAGGTTTCCCATCCACAGTGCAGTACGTACCTGTCGCGCTCTTGCTTTCCATTGGGCAAGTTACAGCCGCGGCTACCTCACCTTAACATACGGTCAGTCAGACAGTACGAAAAACTCTTCATCTTGTGGAGACACTTACCCACTGTGCCACTACCGTCTCTTTGCAGAAGGAAAGGGCCAACAGGAAGTGACCCACACCGTGTGCATTGATATTTCCTGATAGAACTGGAACCTGGCAGAAAAAACGGCAAGACGTAAAGTTTTGATCAGAGGCAATCGCGCGACCGTTTTGGCCGGTGCTATTGTGGAACCTTCTGAAGAAATCTTCTCCAAATTACTCTCTTTTGTCTAGTTGCTGGCTTTGTTTAGTGGGACCGGCATCGGAGGTGGAAACAACACCCTCTCTCAACCTGTGACTTGGCTTAGACGATGAACGGAATCGAGGTTAGTGACATTCATGGTATAATTGGCGTTTGTCACGATGATGGACCATGGATCATGCAAAATCGAATGCGATTCTTGGCAATCCCCAACTCATCTCCAATTCC